ATAGAATATTAAGTTCAGGATCCTGGATTCTAAGTACAGGATAACTTGCAGACATGACAGAAAGGGAGAAAACAGCGGGGACATTCCACTAGAGAAACACATCAAGGTGCAATGTGGGAAAAGCTTCACTCAGTGTCATCCTCATTCAGCACCAGAGAACCCACACTAGAGAGAAGCCATATGGGTGTGAAAAATGTGGGAAAGCCTTCACCCAAAGTTCAGGTCTCAATGAACATCAGCAGAGTCACACTGGAGTTACATTATCAATGTAAGGTGTGTGGGAAAGCCTTTATGCTAGCAATGGCCTCATTTGACATGGAATAATTCACACAGGAGAAAAAACCATATGAATGTGAAGAGGGTGGGAATGCCGTCGTCCTAAGTTCATACCTTGTTCTGCATCACATGATACACACTGGAGAGAAGCACAATCAGTATAATGAGTTTTTCAAAGCCTTCAGTCAGAATACAGGTTCTCTTCCAGCACCTGAAAATTCACAGTGGTGAGAAAGCCCTACGGTGTAGTCAGTGTAGTGAAAGATTTAGTAGAAGCATGAAACATCAGAGAAGTCACATGGGAGAGAGACTGAGTGTGATGACTGTGGAAAAGCCTTCAGCCATCAGGGCAAGCTAGTTAGGCATCTTAGGATCCACACTGTTTTTGAACTAGGTTGATTCTACTGACACCCAGGCCCTTAAATGGATCCATCTTAAATAATATTTTCCAGTGGTTCATGATGCTCTTATCCATTTTACTTTGCTTTAGAATGAGTAGCTGAGAATAAGTCTCCTGGAGGTGTGTGGGGTGTTGATGGGCAACCTCCCAATCTCTTTCCTTTGGTTATTTTCCATTAAGTTTCCTTAAGGTACCAAATCCTACCTGGAAATAAACTAGTATGGAGGGGTTGTTCTTCAGTATACTGCCCTCGTGGAGTTTACATATAAGTGAGGGAGGAGAGGCAGAAAATATGTAATATATTAGATGGCAATTATTATTATTTAAATCATTTTATTGGGGGCTCTTACAAAATTCCGTACACCGATTTTATCAAGCATATATATTTTTAATATTTTTATTGGGGGCTCTTACAGCTCTTATCACAATCCATACACACATCCATTATGCTAAGCACATTTGTACATATGTTGCCATCATTATTTTCAAATGTATCAAGCATATTTGTACATACGTCACCACCATCATTTTCTACACTTACCGCATACACTTGAGTATAAGGCAACCTGAGTATCAGCCAACGCACCTAATTTTACTACAAAAACTGCATAAAAATGTGCTGAAAAATTTGGGTTATACAAAAGTATATACGGTACCTTCTATTTGTGCCCTTGGTATCAGCTCCTCTCCACACACACCCCTTGCTAGCCCCCTCATGACCCCTTGATAAATTATAAATTATTATTTTCATACCTTACACTGACTGCTGTCTCCCTTCACCCATGTTTCTGTTGTTCATCCTCCTGGGGCGTGGGGATTATGTGTCAATCACTGCGATCGGTTCCTCCTTCATCCTCACCACTCCCACCTTCCCCCTACTCCCCTGGTATGACTACTCCCATTTCTGTTTCTGACCTGGATTCCATGTCACAAGCTCTTAACTGTGCCAGTGTACATGCTCCAGTCTAGCCAGAACTGCTTTCAGGCAGGACTGGGGCATGAGAGTGGGGGGTGAGGAAGCCTCAAAGAACCAGAGGAATGTTGTGGTTGATTCATTCCCTTCCTTGTGACCCTTTTGTGAGGCGGATGTCCTACTGTCTGCATATGGGTTTTGGTTCTCTGCTCTGATCCCCCTTGATGGCCATTAATTTTATAATAAAAATGGGTGCCAGGGTGGAATTGCAGGGAATTACTATTTTATATGGAAGTCCAAAAAACATGAAAGAGAGGGATACATACAGATCTCTAGTGGAAGAACATTGCAGGCAGAGGGACCACCAAGTGCAAAGGCTCTGGGGTGAGAGGCTTCTGGCTATATGAACAGGTGTGAGGGACTTTTCCTGTGAAGGGGTCAGAGACATGAATTAGTAGGTAGAAGGAGATCATGAGTCAAGGACTTTTTGTTTAAAAAATAGGAGTTATTACAGAATGTTTGCTGATGGGAATGATCTATACGAGGTGAAAACTGGGCGTCAAGCAAGGGCAAGTCTCCAAAGTTTCTCTTCTTCAGATAATGGTGAGGATAGTGTCATAGAAGATATGGACAGGGTGTTTATTCCTAAAGCCATTCCAAGCGTTGTTAGATACCAGACTTTCTATCACTTGAACTCAGAAAACTGCCCATGTTAGTGATGTGACAGTACATATGGAAGGTCCGATCAATTACAAACTTGAGTATCTGAATGTGGAACATATGCGTATATGGTTTATACCCTTGGCTTACGTTTCCACCAAAAACCAAACCAGTTTGGTTCATTCCAACTCACGGTGATCCCATGTGTGCAAAGTGAATCATAATGTGCAATTATGTTTCAAGGCTGTGGCATTCCAATACCTTTCCTCCCCAGTTGCCTTTGGGCGGGATTGAACTTTCAGCTTTTCAGTTAATCATTTGTATTCACCTACTGCTATGAATAATATTCTGTTGAAAGAAATCAAGTAGCCCGGGTTGCCATTGTGGATTACACGTTGGGCTGTTAACCACGAGGTCAGCAATTAGAGCCTAATAGCCACTTTGCAGGACAAAGATAGGGCATGTAAAGGTTTGTAAAGGTTTACAAACTTGGAAACCTAAAGGGTCAGTTCTGCTCCCCCCCCCCCCCAATAGGGTCTTGATACATCAGAATTGACTTGATGGCAGTCACTGAGTTGAAAGAACACAAGACAGACCACCGGCCTTCGAGTCAAAAGTGAACTGCACATGTTGGGAAGTGAAAGAAAGGGGAGGAGAGGGGCTAAGTAACCTCATGAAGGAGATTAGGTTCACTTCTCCTTGACCTCCAGACAAACCCACCAATCCTGGGTTTCAACATACGTGTTCACATCTTGTGTCCCTCCCTGGTTTACCTAGCACTGATGACTCTAATCCAGGACTCACTCACTTCCCTCCTTAGTTGATTTCAACAAAGGATTAATGTTCTTTTGGTCAACTTTACTGTTATTCTTTCTTCTCATAATGACTATTGTTATTCATTAGCTTCATATTTCCTCAGTTTCCCTTATTCTTTTGACTTTTCTTGTAAAGTCCTGAAATGACAATGGGATAAGTATTCAAAGATACAGCTTGACTTCTGAAATTGTCTCCTTCCGTGTTCTCCTACAATATTGGTTCTGGGCCTTCTTATTTACACACAATCTGATCCAGTTTTATACCAATGCTGATTTCTCCCACCTCGTACTACCTTAGATCATTCTTACTTCATGAACAGGAGTCGTTGTGATGTAGTGGCTTTGTGCTAGTTTGCTAATCATAAGATCAGCAGTTCAAAACCACCAACCATTCTGTGGGAGAAAGATGAGGCTTTCTATTCCTGTAAAAAGTTAGAATATCAGAAACTCATGGGGGAAGCTCTACCCTGCCTTATAGGATTGCTCTGAGGCAGAATTGACTCAATGGTAGTAAGCTTGGCTTGGTGTTTATCTCATGGACTCTTTATTTTTAAACTACACATTTAGTACCATTCTATGGTTACTATGACACTGCCTGCATTTTCATTTATTTATTTATTTTACATTTTTACGGACACCTAACCTTCATATAATTCAGTAGTTCATTTGCTCAATCATATCAAGAATAATGGTACAATGATTACCACAATCCATTTTAGAACATTTCCCCCACCCCCCCAATGGTTAAATCAACTCTAAAATGAGCTGTGTAATTATAATCAGTTCTAATGCTCCCTCCCCCGAAACTGCCTCATTTTAATGATAACATTCTCCAGGAGAAATTTTTTTTTTTT